CGGGCGGGTGCCCGGGCGCCGGCGGCTGCTCCAGCCGTTTCCTTCCGTGCGGCTCCCGCAGGAAGCGAGCAGACCCGAAGGCGATTTGGGACGCACACAGGGAATCCACCGTGTTAAAAATAGGTATCTGCACATGCACATGCCCTGCTTCGGCCCTTGTCTACAACACAAGTACAGCCCTGTGATTTTTCTGTAGCAACACCCGGGGACCTAAGAGAGGGCGATCCCAGAGGCTCGGGGCGTGTCCAGGGGGAAGCGGCTGGGCAGGGTCAGAGTCCTGCCAGCCTTGAACCGTGTCCTCCAGGGGAGTGAGGACGTTATCTATTGCAACACCAGTTAGAAAAAACCCCTGCAGCGGGTCCGCTTCCTTCTGAGCGTAGCGGTAGCTTTACACCTGCAGTGCGTTCGGCCCCATGCTTCTGGGGCCTATTATATTGATGTATTCCTGTTTAAAGGAGTTAATGTGTGACCCTGTAAGCCAACTGGAGCGTGTAAATGCTCTGGCCTCTTGGAGCTGATTTCAGCAGCTGGGGTCCACTTCTGTAATCAGGCATGCTGGCGTAAATCCAGAACGCTGCTGCTGGAGACATTGGGCTTTCTGTAATTTACACCCCTGCAAAAGTAGGATTTGACCTCTTGCCTGCAGATTTGATGTCTGACGGCTTCTCAGGGCTTCCCCTAGACGCACACGATCCACATCCTGAGCCACGGCCAAGATCCCGTTAGAAAAACTAAAACCCACAAATGTACCATGTCTGGAACCCTTGAGATTAAGAGCTACCAAATGAGAGGACTGTCAGGAGACAATAGGTTTATGTCAAATGCTTCACTGTTTGGAGAGTGCCCCTTTCTTTGAAGGGGCCCTGATGCTGGCTGACATCCAGAGGCCGTGAAAAATCCCCTTCCCATTGCACTAGGTTTCTGCAGCCCAGAGCTTGGGATAGCGCACAATTCAAAAGGAAAGAGCCTTTTGGGAATCGGGCTGGTTTTGATTTACGCATCAAAGAGTCCCTGGAATAGGGATGGAGCCTATTCCCAGTTTTTGGAGCCTATCAGCATGGTGGAATAAGCAGGATAGCTTTTTGTATACGCGCTCTCTTGTGAAATGGAAGCTGCTGCAGTCTGGGATAATTACGGCCAGCACAAAACAGTGCTCTCCTTCCAGAACGGGGACACGTCTAAATGGGACACGCGAGTTGCTCTCATCATTTTCCCCATGCAGACATCGTGGGGTTGACCCTGAGGGACATAGCATAAACTTGTCATTGCTTCACAGCTGCCTCCTCTTCCCAGACATGGGCCACAAAGCGCCGTCAGCAAGCCTACAGGCATGTTGCATTGGATGTGAATGCATGCACCATGCAAAAGTTGTATTAGGGGCCAACAGTTGCCCAGCTGTGAGGAAAGTTTTGAATGTTGCTTGAAATACTAGGGGAAAGGGAGAAATGGGTGGAAAAGAAGACGGAAGAGGAAACTGGAAAGAGATGGGCAATAATAAGGAGAGGCTGTTGCAGGAAGCTTATTTGAAGTCTACCTCGTACCCTCTGCTGTGCCAGCCAACTCACATCAGAACAGTCCAATAAATGGGAGAACGGGTAAATAAATGGCAACAGTTAGAAGATAATTTGTGCTAACTCCCTGTTGAAGGTGTCCCTTGAAAATGAGACAGGTAGGGAAGAGGATCCAAATTTCAAAATCAGAACGTCTGGAAGAAAGGGTTTTAGGGAACCTAATAACAGAGGCGTTTGCAAAGGAAGGAAAATGAGTCCAATGGAAAACATCAGCACAAAAAAGCACTTAAAAGAAGATGGATTGAGATTCAGAAGGAAGAGCAGGAAATAGGAAGACTGAAGGGAGCGGATGAAAAAGAACAGAGGCAGTGGGCCCAACTTGCAAAAGGCAGAGGGCCCTGGGCTGCCTGGGAAGTCCCATGTGAAATGTCTCATCTGAATTTGCATCTACAGTCCTTGCAATTTGTGCGTGCTCTTGAACACTTACTAGCTCACCAGGGTGCATCTACACACACGCAGGTACAACATTTGCATACAGATTGGGCCTGAAGCTGCATGTGTGTGTTTAACACGTGGTCCTGGACTTCAGCCTTTTGTAAAAACTGGAACCAGCAAGGATTTTTCTCCTCTTTGTTAGATGCATTGAAAGCTTTCACCCAGCTCTCTCTCATCCTCGGTGCTGTGGTGATTTAGCCACTTCTACTTAAAAGCAACACTCAACTGTTGTTTTTGAGGCTATTAATCTGTTTTACTTGCCTGAACTGATATGGATAAATCACATCTTCACCTTCCTTCTCCCTGGCAGAAACAATAAAGCAGCGAGAAGTATAAACTTTCTATACAGCCCAGAATGGACATCTATTTGAAGGGCCTGCTTGCACTTCAACATCAGTCATCTAACACTGGAGACTCTATGTCTTAAACCCCGATCTTGCAGTCAAGTCTATGCAGGCAGAGCCCTGCAGCCACAACGTACCCCATTCTTGCTAGCCCAGGTATCCTTACTTGTATGGGTCTGTTTGCAGGATCAGGGCCCTGGGCATCAATAGTGTTATGCAGCTTCAAACGTTGTTTCCCCACCATCTTCCCCTCTGTAGTACCTATCCACATTGCTGGATAGACGCACATATCACATCAGTGTAGATGCACAATGGCCAGTATTGCATCCTGAACTAGTACACTGCCAAAGACTGAGCCTCATGCATGGATCCACTGGTCTTCATCCCGGTATTTCCTCCTCTATGGTGGCTGCTTGCTCACAAGCACAGTTAGAAACAAAAGGCAGTTTTAAGATGCTGATCTGCATTTTGGGGAGCTTTTGAGGGTGTCTTGTGGCTGGGAGATTTTTTATTCATTTTGTTTGGCAACAAGACATTTGGACGCTTATCTTACCTGGATCCTATGACCCCAGCTGACCTCCTGCCCCTGGGGCAGGGGGCTGGGCTCGATGATCTTCTGAGGTCCCTTCCAGCCCTAATGTCTATGAAATCTATGAAAAAGCCCCGGTCTTGCTGGCACTTGAAAAGCCAGGTCTCCACCGACAAGGAAATGGATACTTGTCTCCTAGAGACAAAGGTGGCCTGGGGCCTCAAAGTTCATATTCTAATCTCCCGAGAGGCTGGGGTTGCTTGCATCTTGGAGTTTGTTTGGGGTCCATCTGCAGTAGCAGGCTAATCCGAAGGTCATTTACAAATATTTACATACTGATAATTCAGATTCAGCATCTTCCTAGTACCTGTCCCCTCCCTCAGCCATCAAGGGGTCTCCTACTGCCTGCTCCTCTCCCCTTCTCCTTAGCTTCCACCTATCTTCCTACCTGCCACATCCCTTTCTCCCATTTTGGGTGGCTTCTGGCACAACTGGTCTGAGGCTCGTGCAAAACGTAGGTGTGAAAGAGCCCGATAAAGATGTGCTGGCAACCTCACCTTGGACTGTGACTCCGTTTTCAGTTTAGGTATGAAATGTATGGTTATACTTATACTATTTTCCAGTCCGGTCTCCACTAAGCTGCTGTCTGTGGCTGCTAGATGTCACTTGAACCTCATTGACTGTACTGATAACTTTTTATTCCCAGTATTTATTTATTTTTACCCTGTGACACCTTCACTGGTTTGAACAGGACACCGTCAACTTGATGTTCACATTTGTCTGAGACCGTTGTTCCAGATAACGTCCACAGCCACCAGGACTGAAAAGAGATAGCGATAGCTGGGGAAAAAGAGAAATAACTTCTTATTTTCTTCTGTTTTGTTTGACAGCGTTTTGTATAATTTTATGTCGTTCATTCCTTTGGGCACTTTCTTAAGCAGTCAGCTTCTTTCTTGTTCTTACAAAAACCTCTGCAAAGACTTATTTAAATGGATTTTTAGTTTGAAAGAAAAAAAATTGCGGTGCACAAAAAAAAGCAGGCTGGGGATTTTTCAGATTCATTTGAAACATTCAAGCTGACAGTGTCCCTTTAAGAACAGGAAATTAGTGTATTTAGAAGTCTTTGTTGGCTTCCTGCCTGTTCCATCCTTCTCTGTCGATACAGATCAGTGATGTCTGTTTTGATCTTGCCATGAGCGCTGTGGGCCATGCACATTGTGGAACTGGGGCCTTCAAGCACTGGCGTAACCTTGCTCGTGTGAATCATCTGCTAGAGTCAGTCCCTTTGCTCACACCTGCGAAGTTACCGTATGCAGTAGTCTTAACTGTATTTGTGTGAGTGAGGAAACAGCTGCTCTGTCTCTGCAGCGCACCAACCATTTCACTTGATTAACTGAACACAGGGATCAAAATAATTGACTGCAATCAAAAGAAAAAACATTTCTCCTTCTCATACAGAACATTGTCAGAGGCTTTGGGGTGTTGACTGAAAAACATATTTCCTGCCCTGAAGAGTCCCACTCCCTCTATCAGGTAGAGAGCAGAGCAAATAAATACAAGACAAAACACATCTCCTTTGAATCACCTCTAGGGAGCAGGTCTTGGCAGAAGACAAGAAAGGTGGTGATGCTGTAATAATAATCATGAGAATAATCATTTTATTTAAAAAGACACCCCCCTCCCCCGGAGGTATTCTGGATGCTGCGCAGCAATTTAAAGTACAACTGAGAGCAGCAGCAGTATGAAGCCAGATGAACAGCATACTAACAACGTGGCATAAATGAGGGAAGTTCTTTGCAGCAGCTGGCAATTGGAAACTACCCGTTTCAGGGGCTTGCTAAAAGTGGAAAGGGATAAAGCTGTAAAATGTGTGTCTGTGCTTCTCTCACAAAACATAAGAGTGTGCGAGTCATAGGCTGAAACGATTAAACAAGGGAGGCAAAAAATTAGGGAGCTCAGGCCTTATTTTGGACTGGATTTGGCAAATGCTTACGCACCACTTGCTCACCTGAATCATCCCAGTGAATTCAGTGGGGCTGTTCCCATGCATGTGTGTTGTGCTGGTGAGGTCTGGGTGATCAGTGTGGTGCTGAGGGCCTGAGAAGTGTGTTTCTTAATGTGGTTTGAGGGTGTGAAGGAAAAATTGTTATACCGGATGCATGTATATACTCTCTCTCTCATATATACACACACACACATCCGCTATCATATGCATGTGTATGTATATGTATATTTAAAAGAAAAAAAGTAGGATTGGAGTCCTCATAAGCTTTTATGGGAAAGTGGACCAGGAAAGTGTGGGTGTGGCGGCAGAGCAAGGCCCTGCTAGGGCTCCAGGGCCGTGAATCGGAGGCCTGCTGCAGACTCCTAGTAAAGGCTGTGCTCAGTCTGCTTGTCTCGAGATAGGTACCTGGCTGCGAGGGTGGGGAAGTCACGGGTGGGAAGCTGTGATACCACTTGCCTGTGCGCCATTAGTTACAGGAACAGGTAGGCCTTTGTCTGGTAGCCCAGTGGACTGTCAGGCCCTGGCACGTTTTTGTCTTTGGGGAAGATGCTCAGCTGGTGAAGAGCCGAGGACCTGGTATTCGGGTCCCAGTCCCGCAGCGAGTGCTCCAACTGCACAGGGATCTGCCTGTAAAGCAAATTGTTTGGGACGTCCAGTTTACATATCCCTGTTTACACTTTGTTTCCGCTTGTGCCCCTGCCAGACGGACAGCGGAGCGGCGCAGCGGGGTCAGCTCCAACTTCTGCGTACAGCTGGTTTCACTTTCCGAGGCCGAGCGCGACCGTGTTTGCCTCCGGAGCTGTGCAAGAGATAAACATGGTTTGGCAAACAAGTGTTTGGTCGCAGACACAACGGGACCATCTACTCATGCCATCGTGCCTCTTGAGCGCTTGGCTTAACGCGACTTGTAGCTGCCAGCGTCCCTGGGATGCGGACCCGGCAGCCTGGCTCCAGGCAGTGACATTTGTGGTCAAGACGCAGGATTATTTTGCACGCTTGTGCATGTAAGTTTTAGGTAAGAAAGAGCTAGGCCCTGCTGCTCTGGAGGCTCAGGCTGAACTTTCTTCTGACCAGCAGTTTCTGGAGTAAAGAGAAATACAGCCCTGTGCCTGCTGGACGGAGGCTGCCGCCTTAGCCATCTTCCAGCCAGGGATCAGCCAGCAAGGTAACACGCAGCGATGTTGCAACCTGCATTTTGGTTTTTCTCTCTTCATACCCCGAACTGCATCGGAGCGGCGGCCCAGAAAACTCATGCTGACTGGGCGGGTTGAAGAAGCCAGTACCGAACAGCCCGTATGTGCTCCCCTTGGCAAATACGACGACATACTCCCACCGAAACGATAGGGATGGTGGAGGGGAGCTCTTGATTTCGGGGAGGACGGGGCTTTCGCCGTGAGGCCCCTGCCTGCGTCGCACCAGCACCTGGGGAGTGAAGACGAGGATGTGGGCGCCGGCAGAGGGGGGGCGTCCAGCGGTGCGGTCCCTTCCCTGCTACCAGGCGGTGGGAGCTGAGGCGGGCAGCTTGCCCCTGGGCTGCCCCCGCGCTTGGAGGACGGGGCGCCCTGAGCCCCCCACCACCAAGGCCCTAAACGCCGGAGGCCTCGGGGGAGAGAGGAGCAAGGAGCCCGTGCCACAGCCCCTCAGGGCTGAGCAGGACTGGGGCCTGAGGAGCCGGTCTCAAACCCTGCCAGGGAGGAGGAGGCTGGCGCAGGACGAGGGCCCTACGGCAGCCCCCTCCGAGGCG